CACCCCTGCCCTAACTCCAAACTGATAGATGCCACCAACTTGGTTGTCTTCATCTCCTGAAGTCACATAAGAACATAAGAATGGCCACACTGGGTCAGACAAAAGGTCCATCCAGCCCAGTATCCTGTCTTCAGACAGTGGCCAATGCCAGGTGCCTCAGATGGAATGACCAGAACAGGTAATCATCAAGTGATCCATCCCCTGTTGCCCATTCCCAGCTTCTGGCAAACAGAGGCTGGGGACACCATCCCTGCCCAACCTGGCTAATAGCCATTGATAGACCTATCCTCCATGAATTTATCTAGTTCTTTTTTGAACCTTGTTATAGTCTTGGCCTTCACAACATCCTCTGGCAAGGAGTTCCACAGGTTGACTGTGCATTGTGTGAAAAAATACTTCCTTTTGTTTGTTTTAAACCTGCTACCTATTAATTTCATTTGGTGACCCCCTAGTTCTTGTGTTATGAGAAGGAGTAAACAACACTTCCTTATTTACTTTCTCCACACCAGTCATGATTTTATAGACCTTTAGCATAGTCATCTTTTTTCCAAGCTGAAAAGCCCCCATCTTATTCATCTCTCCTCATCTGGAAGCCGTTCCTTACCCCTAATCATTTTTGTTGTCTTTTTCTGAACCTTTTCCAATTCCAATTTTTTGAGATGGGGCAACCACATCTGCACGCAGTATGCCACATAGCGGAAAGTGGAGTTTAAAGGAATTACTACATTGGACAATGCTGATTGGTATTCTAATTTTGCCTTTAGTGGAAATAGCACATTCTGGAGAGGATACTTCCAGGGATGATATTAAACCCTTGACAGCTCTCACTGGTGTGTAGTGTCCATGTAGAGGTACTGAAAAGTGGTTGGAAGAAATCTCTAAGGAGCAGCAGGTAACTTCAGATTTGATGATTGATGTTTTCTTACTTACGTTTATCATCTTCTCTTACTCAGTGGCAGAAGAGTGCTACTACAGCGAAAACTCATTTACAAATGTAGCTTTCCCTTAGACTGTAAAGAACCCAATCAGACAACAAACCCTAGCCAGATAAAACACCCAATGAAATCAATGGGAATTTTGCTCACATACTGTAACTCTGCAAGATCAGGGCCAAAGCAAAGTCAGCTTTCGCTCTGATGAAGGCGTGGTAACCTTTCCTTTTTCTATGCTCTTTTGATACACATCTCAAGAGAGGAATGATTCATTCTGTGGATATTTGTAACACTCTGATATCTTTGTTGTGGTTTGTGAGAACTATTTATATACTAAAATCACACTTTGCTAGTTTGCTAGTCATCTAACCATCAGCAAGTAGTAAATAATAGTCACATATTTTCAAACTGGAAATACAAAAAGGATGGGAACTAGTTCTGCTCCCGCTAAAGTAAATGGGAATCTTTTCATTGGCTTCAATGGGAATTTGATCAGGCCTCAGATGAAGACTCAAAATGAGGCATCAAAACACACAGAAGAAACAAGCACTGAATAACACTCATTAGAGATGCTGTACCAAGTGGACCCAGTCCAGCACCCATTGGTGTCAATGGAAAGACTCTCATGCCTAGACCCACAAAGGGACTTAGGTATCTCTCTCAGGCCCAATAACTATTTAAGTATTTATCCAAAGAGGAGCAGTCATTGGGCCAGAGAGAAAGCAAGAGAATGGCAATATAGGCCTGTGGTTAGGGCACCCCCCAGGAGGTAGGAGACTGTGAGTCTAGTCCCCCTGCTTCAATCACTCTTCCATTATTTATCCACAGTGGAACAGCTTCAACAGGAGCAATTGAGGGAGCCCCATATCAGACTATCCTCTAGCTCATTGGTTAGAGCAGCCTCCTGAGAGGGAGAGCCCCTATTCAAATTGCTTCTCCCGAACAGGCAGAGGGGGGGCATTGAACGTGAGTCTCCTACATCCCACTGGGTGGTGACAGCAGCTCCTCCTCTGGCTGGATTTCCAAGAGGACCCGACGGAGGGCAAGTCTACACTACAATGCTACATTGGTGCAACTGCACCGCTGTGGGAGAGCATCTCCTGCCAACATAGTGCTGGTGTGGACAGCACTTAAGCCAACGTAACTTACGTCGCTCAGAGGGTCTTTTTCACACCCCTGAGCGCCAAAAGTTGCATCAACTTAAGCAGTAGTGTAGACCAGCCCTGAGTGGGTGGTCTTTGAGCATGTCTCCCAGATTGGGCCCCACAAGATAGGTGAGTGAACACCTGTCTTCCCTGGGTTTGTGAATCGCTCTGGGGCTTAGGTGGCAGATAGGTGTCCAAACATCTAGCGAGAGGCAGCAGTGCACAAACCCAGAAACAGAAACTTGGGCTCTGAGAGAACTTTCACTGCAGGAACATAGGCACTGAGTCAGTTTAGGTATGTATAGGGTTTGGCAGGAGTCTTGTGCATGGCAATGGAGCCTATAAGTGGGACTTTGGTGCCTAAACCTGAGAGTTAGGCACCTGGCGTTAAGGATCAGGGCCTCATTGATTTCCATGATAATGGAACCAGTCCCTATTTGTGTATGTGCGTGCACATTGTGTTGTAAAGATTCTATTGGCATGAATTGATAAAATTACACATAAATTTTAAGTGGTGGAATTCAAGTAAATTATGCCCATCACCCCAAACAAATTCCGATGAAACTTTTATACCCACCCCCCCTCCATTGTGTATTTGTTTCTATTGCCTTTTAGTGACCAACTTTTTTTATAATTGGAGCGTTTTGCTATTTTTCAGTCCCTCTGCCTCAGGTAAACTGAGGTTACCTTAAATTACCATATACAAACCTCTGAGTGTTAGCAAATATAGCCTAGACTGTTTAAACGACTCTACAAATAGCTTTTCTGCATATCAGGGGGTCATGACTTTTGGGTTCACTCTAACTTTGTACTCTTAGCCTGAAATTCCAGCTCTCAGGGCTTGTCTACACTTTCAGCACTGCAAGGGCACCCGTACAGCTGCGCCACTGTAGCACTTAATGAAGACACTACCTATGCCAACAGCAGAGCTGCTTCTGTAGGCGGAGGTACCCCACCTCCTCAAGAGGCAGTAGTGAAATTGACTTTTGTGGCATCCTTTTTTTTTTTTTTCTTTTCTAAAGATGACTTTAAAAGTTGCTCTGAAGTTTGGAATATTAAAGTCCTGCTGGAGATCAGGGAGCAGAATGCAGGTGAAGCAGTCAAAGGTGTGAAATAACAGCAATTGAACGACTGTAGAATACAGACTATCGTGGCTACTGCTCTGAAACCTGTAGAATGAATGGGATTCTTCATGTAGCTATCATTGCCACCTATGTGATATAATGTATATGGGATGAGGAAGAGAGTTTGTATTTTCTCAGTGTTATTTAATTTGTATTATGTATGGCTGGCCTTAAGCATAGGCAAAGGAAGCAGTCACTTGGTTTCTTATGTTATGGAAGCACTGGATTTCCCCCTCCAGCAGCAGATGTAGAGAGGAAGCAATTTGCCCTCAGAATTGCCCAGGGGCATAAGAAATTCTTGTCCTGATGCTTCCCCATCTGACATTTTTTCTGTGTCCTACTTTTGCATGGAGTCACACCAAAAGCAAGGTTATCCCCGGTGTTGTGTCATTATTTTATTCATTTTGGCTATTTACAGCCTTTGTGATAATGCAATAATGAATGTTTATTGAAGTAAGACAACTTGGAACCCACAAGCTCATCCTAAAATACAAAGGTGCAGCTGAAGTGTTTCAAAAACCGTTAGCTGGGGGCTCTGTTTAAACATTTTTTTTTTTTTTTTTGCATCTTGCTTTAAAAATAGTTGGCATAAATTGTCTGCTTCTTGGAACATGTGTGACTCTATCATCAGGATAAAAGTTTCTTCAGGTCTTCGTTTGTCCTTTTTTCCAACTGGCTTCTTTCTGGTTTTTTGTTTTTGTTTCCCCTTGCACGAACAGTACCATTTTATACCTAGCTAAACTCCCACAAAAATGTTTAATTCCAAAATAACATTTACACATCAGCATGCATAGTTATTAAAAAAAATCTAACCATCAATTAATGCTTTCCTGATCATTATGAAAAATAAGTATTTTAATTTTGTGAGTATTTAGCAGCCAACGCAACGTTTTTTTCTTTCTTTCATGGCATAAGGAAAAGTATAATGAACTTCTGAGTGTTTTGGCTTGATTTGAATCAGAATGTCCGATGAATTCAAGGCTGCTGACAGTTCCTTTCTTTGGACGTTGACCTGGTCATCTGCGGCAGGATTATATTGGTGCCTGCTAACCTTGGGTATAGCTGAGGTTACATCAAAGCAGCCCCTACATCTGCCCACATCTTTGTGAAGAATTCTCCTTTGGGGGGGCTAAAATGTGCCAAGCTCGGTCTCAGCCTGGAGGTTCTGTAGGTATTGATTTTGCTGGCAAGGTTGAAGAGTGGCGGACAGGTCCATCAATGGCTATTAGCCCGGATGGTCAGGGATGCAACCCCATGCTCTGGCTGTCCCGAAGCCTCTGAGGGCCAGGGGCTGGGACCGGAGGGCAGGGGTGGATCGCTTGATAACTGCCCTGTTGGAGTCCTTCCCTCTGAAGCACCTGGCACTGGCCACTGGCGGGAGCCAGGAGGCTGGGCTGGATGGACCTTTGGTCTGACCCAGGGCTCTTATCGTCTAGCGAGTATGGCCCCAGCCTGGTGCTGCCAGTGGGCGGGAGGGGCGCATGGGGAGCCCAGGGGGTTGGATTAGGTGTTTGGAGGAAGCTGTGATGTCCACTAGGGGCCAGGTCCTGGTTAGCTGTCGGCAACACACGCGCACCCCCTGCTTGAGTGGGGCGTGGGGGCCGAGAGGGGGACCCGGCTGGTGTGGCCCTGGGGCGGGGCGGCTGGAGCCGGGCTGGGAGCTGGGTGCCAGCCGGGTGGCCGCTTTCCGGGGGGGGGGGGCACCCAGAAGGGGCGGGCCCTGGGCGAGCGTGTGATCGGGTAGCTCTGCCTCCCCGCTCTGACATGCGGGCGCGGCGGCCTGAAAAGGCTGCGAGGAGCCGGGCGGGAGGCACAGGCGGGCTCCCCGCGCCGCGCGCCGGAACCTCTCCAGGGAGAGACGCGGAGGGGGGGTGCGCGCGCGTGTGTGTGTGTGTGTGTCCCCGTGTGTGTGTGTGTGTGCGCGCGTGTGCACGGGGGGGGGGGGACGACACGCGCGCCCACGACTCGCGGCGGCCCGGCCAGCCGCGCGTGAACCATCCGGTCCGGCGTGTCCGCCAGCCTCTGCCCCTGCCCGGCGCCCCGGCCACCGCCACGCCGCGGCGGGAGCCGCCAGCCCCGGGGCGGTGCGATGCCCCGGGCGAGTCGTTCCTGCCGCCGGCTCTCGGGGGGCGTGGGGGGTGATGGTACCTTCACGGGAGTGACACGCTGAGGGGCTGTGGAGAGCAAACACGCGCGCACACCCACACGCGCGCTGCAGGCACGCGCGGTTTGTAGACTGGATTTCGGGGGGGCGGAGGGGAAGCAGCGGCCGGCCTCGCTCGCGCCGGCACTGAAGGAGTTCCCGGGCTTCTGCTCCTGCGAGTGGGGCTGTGCACGGCAGCGGAGCGGGGGCAAGGCAGGACGCCAAGGCACGGAGGAGGAGGAGGACGAGGAGGAGAAGCGAAAGACAACCCGGGACATTTGCCGAGGGAATTCTAAGGTGCGGGGTGAAGACCAGCGGGACTCCCAGTTCCCGAGGAAAGCCCCTAGCAAAGCCAGCGGGGGAGAAACACCCCCCCCACCACCGCCACCACCCACCCCGCTAAAAATGGATACATTGCCTCTCGTTTGGGGATTTTTAGCTCTGTGCTTGGCTGGATCCGGAGTGCTGGGCGAAGCAGGTAAGACACACGAAAGTTAATTTCCTCAGCTGCGCGCGTTACTCATTTGCCTTGGAAAGCCTGGCGGCGAGGTCTTCCCGTTGGTACACAATTCAACGGCAGGTTTGCTTCGCGAGAGCCAGGACTCTCTCCCCTTGCGGGAAACACAACTTTCCCCTCCCGGGATGCAGTGTGGTGAGGTCTGGGTGTCTGTGTTTTGAAACACCCTCACACGGAGACAGGCTTTGGCTGTGTTCAGATGTCACATATGGAATAAATCAAAAGGTTTTTTTAAACAAACAAACAAACAGACACGACAAAGCCTTTGCATTACAGTTTTCGGGAGAGATTTTTTTAAAAAAAATGGTTTGAAGCAGAACATATCTCCCTGGTGGTTTTTGTTCCCTCTCCCCCCCCCCCCCCCCCGCCCGGCTAGAAAGGCATAAATAATTTATAGCCACTCGGTTGGAGATACATTTACCAAGTCTAATTAAATAAGGTTTGAATGGGCAAGGCAGGAAAGCCAAGTTTGTGTGTTCTTAAGCCGGGGTGGCGGTTTCAAAAAAAAACAACAACCCCACCCCCATGGCTGTTAGCAGGTCATTTTGTGCCTACTGTCTTAATAAAATGTCCCGCTCTGGAGCAACTGGGGATGTTTCTCTCCCCCCACCCCCTTTCAGTGTCTGTGTTTCCAGGGAAAGAGGAGCTAGTCCATATACATTTTTATTGAGAAAACAAACAGTGCAGACCTCAGGGGTCTAAGGAGCCCTCTGAAGTGGTCAGAAACTTTTCTTGATGGAATTCGGTCCTAAGCAGTTGCCAAAAGAGAAAAACAATTGGGGGGGGGGGTGAAGAGGAGTGGAGGGATGAGGACAAACTGTGTTGAGATAAGGGAAACGAAGAGACTCCGATCAAATTCCAAGCCACTGTTTAATTCTGACAATCGGTAAATACATTTTGGGTTGCGCAAAACAGCCTTGGAGAGACTGGAGTGTGGCTGGCGAAATCCCTCCTCCCTGGTGAAGGGCACACTAAACCCGCTCGGCTTCATGACTCCGCCGGAGATCTGACAGAGCCCTTTCCAGCTCATTAACCGCTGGGCTGGGAGTGAAACCCTGATAAGACAGATCAGGCGGGGAGGGAGCACCGCAAAAATAAATATACAAACCTCACATGGCCTACTGTTTATCGTGGTTATTAAAATATGTGCAACTCCTGGAAGCCACTAGCTAACAGCCGGGAGGCGGGGTGAGCCGAGGCTAAGCTAGCATCACCCCCCCCTCCCCGCTATATGTCAGTGAACATCATTATTTCATTCGTGCCACCCCAGTCTGCGGGTCCTGTCACTGCGGATCCCCCCGGGGGATTGTCATTCAGAACAAGTGCCTGGCGTTGGGAAGCCCGGAAACACCCTGGCACCTTCTGTGCGGGTGCCAAAGTCCGGCTAAGGTAAAAATGGTGCCAGGGTTTTGGATGTGGAATTGCAGCCGGGCTCGGGCTGCATGCTGGGGGGCGGCGGGGTGCCCCGAAGCGCTCCGCCCTGCCCCTGGGCTGTCACGGAGCTCAGCCGGGCAGAAATGCAGCGTGCAATGTGCCCTGGGCGGTGCACGTCACACAAACGCACCGAGGGCAGCTCGGAGACCCTTCTGCGCCTTCCCCCGGCCGGAAAGCCGGGCGGGCCCGGGGGCCTCTCCCTCGGCTGGGGCCGGATCCTGCTGCCAGCCAATCCACCGCGAAGCAGGATCGGGGCCGCAGCGGAGGGCGCCTGCCTCCTGTAGACCTGTTGGTGGTGACACCTCCTGCGCCCAGGGTCCGCCTGCTGCCATGTTCCTCCTTCACCTCTCCCTGCCGGCTCCGGGCCCAGCGGCGTGGCAGGAACAGACCCAGCGCGCTAGGCAGCAGGGGAGAAACTTTCACGTGAAACCCTTGTAATGGGGTTTACACTCAAACCAGCTCCGAGGGGTGGGGGATCCAGCTAAAGCGTGTCTCCCCCCCAGCCTCTCCAATGCCGCCTCGGTTGTGCGGGGGGGGGCTATAGGGACTGACAAGTGTTGGAGTGGAGGGGGGACGGCTTAGCAATGGAGCAGCACCCCCCGTCCCCATTCCTCCAGCGGGGCAGGACTTTCTGGTCCCTGGTGCTAGCGTCTCCCTCCCCCTGCCGCTGCCGCCGCTGCTCTCGTGTGCACGGGCAGCCTCGGCACCGATCTGCCTGGGCCAGGGGAGCAGAGAGAAAGGCGGGGCCGGCCGTGCCAGTCCTGGCTGCGGTGCCGTTCCCCCGCCCAAGCCGGAGGCGAGACCGCGCTGCCAGAGACGCCCATTGACTGGAGGGAGCCTCTGCCGGCTTCCGCCGCGCCCTGCCACCGGCCGGTTCTGGTCCGGGCTCTCTGGAGGGGCTGCCTCCACCGGGGTTGCATATGTCTCCCCCCCCCCCCGTGTCAGAGAGTGAGAATTCGCTCCGCCACAGGTGATTTTAGTTGCAAATGAGCCTGGGGAGGTTGTTGCTTTTCCCAGGTGAGGAGGAAATTCTGGCTAATGCTTCATTTCACGGGCTGGATTCCTCCCTAAAACCAGCGTCAGGTAATAGGGGACATCAGAGCTGTGAGTAAAGCCCCCGTTGGCCGGAGCTGGGCTGAACTGCGGTTCTGCACCGGCACCAAAGAGCCAGAGCCTGGTTTGCGGGCAGCAGAGCTGTGGCTGGTCTGCGGGTGCACGAGGCCTTGCTCCCTTAAGGGGAAGTGCCGTGGTAGAGGAAACCAGATCATTTATCCCCAAGGGATTGGACGGGAACAGTCCCGTTGGGGTTTATTTTGCTATTATTTAAGAATCTTTTTTTTCCCCCCGTGAATTTAGTGCTCCTGAAAGGTAGGCACCGGCCTTCACAGCCCTGGCCTGAGCCAGACGGAACACTGGTGTATGGGAGTTCACAGCCCTTGGCCTTTCTGAAGGGCCTGCCCCTTAGCGGGGCGATGATGTGGGCAGCTGTTCACTGAGGAACTAGGCTGAGTGTCAGGAGTGTATCTGGCGCAGGGAGCGGGCACAAGTACTGACACGCACACTTGCAGCGGTGGCGCCGGAAAACTGCCCTTCAGCTCCAAAACGACAGGCTTGTCCGCTGAAAGGAAGCCGTAGCTGATTATAAGTAGTGGGTTCTTTTCCCCGTCTCAGGACAAGCCGTTAGAGGGAAAAACCACACCCAGCCTCTACTAGAGGGCAAATGTACACTTACACCCTCCCTATTAGAGGGCCCCCCTTCCTCCAACTATAGGACCATCTAACTCACTCGGGGTTCTCAAACTTCATTGCATCGCGACCCCCTTCTGACAACAAAAATTACTACATGACCCCGGGGGCGAGGGGGGTGCAGGGGAGGGGACTGAAGCCTGAGCCCACCCAAACCCACCACCCCAGGTGGGGGGGGGTCCAAAGCCAAAGCTTGAGCCCCACTTTCCCTGGTGGTGGTGGTGGGGTCAAAGCCAAAGCCAGAAGGCTTCAGCCTCAAGCAGAGGGCCTGCAGCCTGAGCCCCACGGCCCAGGACTTGGGCTTCGGTCCCAGGTGTTTGGGCTTGGGCTTTAGCTCCTGGCCCCAGCAAGTCTAAGGCAACCCTGGTGACCCCATTAAAATAGGGTCGCAACCTACTTTTGGGTCCCAGCCCACAGTTTGAGAATCTCAATTTAACTCATACCATATATGCCACAAAGAAGCTCAAATGATGCCCTGGTGGGGATTTTAGAGGTCTGCCCCTGACTGAGTTCATCCCTTTCCTGGACATCTCTGTCAGAGCAGATTTATCCCTGGAGTTTCATAACAATGCTCCTAAAGAAGACATTTATTGCCTTTGTTATGGACCAGATGGCACTAAAAGACAGTTGTTTTTCTTAAAAAAGGTCTTGTGAAGAAATCCACAGGCCTCTCCTGCAAGTTAGGATCATAGAATACCAGGGTTGGAAGGGACCTCAGGAGGTCATCTAGTCCAACCCCCTGCTCAAAGCAGGACCAATCCCCAGTTTTTGCCCCAGATCCGTAAAGGGCCCCCCTCAAGTATTGAACTCACAATCCTGGATTTAGCAGGCCAATACTCAAACCACTGAGCTATCCCTCCCACCCTGGGAGCTTATCAGTTGAACGCCCTGACCCATTGTGCCACAGAGACACATAGATACAAGCCTGTAAGTTCTCCTGCTTCACCCCACCCTTTGCCCCACAAGCCTTGCACTTCAAATTACAAAATGGGAAGGCTTTGCTCTCTGGGAGATTCAGTCGATGTTACTGGAACTACATTTACTTTACTCTCCCATGCCAGCGCAGGCACCTATGGGAAAAGGGTTTTGTCAAAGTCTGAAAGGGGACGTTGTGGGGGACGCCTTTGTTCGATGAAACAATTGAAATCAGAGGGGTGTTTGAATTTACAGGGACGTTGGAAAACAGCTGAATTGGCAACACACACAACTCTGATTCCGTTAGGTGCTGTGTGCCCTCATGTCCTTGAGTAGATACAGAATCAGGTTCCTAGAGGTGAAGGGCTCTGTATCCCATTACCATTCCCTAGTGCCATGCAGTTCAATAAAAATATTTGGGTGAGTGCCTTCCTCCTCCCCGCAATCCAGCCTCCGGTGCTGTTTGCATTTGCAATGAAGTTCTCATCCTGTTTGACATCAGACTTTTTGTTGTCAAGGAAATGGTTGTGATATCACAAATACTGGAATATGACATCATTGTGTAATCCAATAAGAGAAAATAAACTGTGACAGGGCACACACGCTGATTTATATACAAGTAGTTTTAGTAATTAGCAAACATGGTAAGAAAAACATGTCAGAGGTGGATGGATTTATATTGGAAGTCTGGTGTATTTGAAAGCTTACCCCCATTATGAAAGTCCCTCTTTAAGCTCCCCCAAGGGATGTAAATAGAGAGGGGAGAGATTTTTTAATAGACAATAATATGATAATCCACACAGAAAAAAACCTCTTGCAGTCATTTTTACTGTAAGAGATAAACAGTGCAGCTGCCAATTTGTTTG